AGTGCTGTACAGAACAGATAGTTCTATTGTTTCCCCTTCACTGAGCGATACTTAAATAGAGGAATATGGGGTGGGCAAAAGTTAATTTTCTTTAAGCAAGCAAACGTGGCTCCTATAAATGGAAATAAATATTTCTGTTGATATGCTCAGAGGCATTTTCCATCATCCCCTTTAATCAACTTCCAAAATACGCTCAGCAGAGAACATCAGATTGGATCCAATTTCTGCTATATCACAGGGAACAAAAGGCTCCAGCAGACACACATCTTTCCAAAACACTTCTATTCCACGGCTCTGCCTCCATTTTGGACGGCAGACAAAGGGGATAAATGTGAATATAACGCCTTGTAGAAGAGATGAGAAGCACAACCGAAGTCGGAGCAGAAGGTGCAGATAAACCCAGGAAGTGCTGCTGCCAGCTGCAACCACCACAGGAACAAAGGAAACGGCGACAGAGCCCGCTGGCTTGAGTTTGTTATAAAAATAAAATTTGAGGAGGGGAGAAAAAGGAAAATTGGCCGGGGGTCTCACACGGAGCGGGCCACGAGGGTTCGCTCTGCCCTTTAAGGGTTTCTCCAGGGACTGTTCAGCACTAGAGGCTTCCACTCGCTCCCAGCCCGGCCGTGGGATGCTGAGGGTTCCCGGTGGCACCAGGAGCCGGGACCTCTCATCCCTCACCCCCCAGCCCTGATCCCTCATCCCGGGGGGCGCAGTGACAGCCCCCCCGCTCCCCTCTAAGCCACGGGCCTCAGGCCTAAGGAAAGAACCCACGAGGATCCCCAAGTTCACCGAACACAAAAGCGGCCCCGATCCCCACGCGTGGCTCGGCTCGGGTCCTCTGGGGGGTCCCCGCCGAGGGGCGACGCCCGGGCCGCGCCCCCGCCCCTCACGGCGGCCTCGGGCCCCCGGCGCGGTGCCCCCGCCCGGCCCCGCCGGGGCTTTCCCGCGGCCGTGCCCCGCTCCGGGCGGTACCTGTAGGCCAGGGACATGCACTCGAACAGCTTCGTGAGGGACGCGTCGATGCTGAGGCGGCCGCCGGCGCCGCCGCCGCCGCGGGCCGCCCCGAACTGGTAGGTCTGGCAGGTCTGCTCGTTGACCGTGTCGAAGTCGTAGCCCTTCTTGGGCGGGTGTTCGCTGTGCGGCGACGAGACCATGAAGTGCCCCGAGTGGATGATCTGCGGGCCCGGGGGCTGCCCCCGGCGCGGCCCGCACCGCCGCCCCCCGCCCGGCGAGGCCCCGCCGTCGTCCGTGTCCGACGAGTCCTCGTCGGGCTCGGTGCGGGGGGACAGCGGCCCCGCCGCCCCGAGGAGCCGCGCCGGCCGCATGAACACGTCGGCGGCCATGGCCCCGCTGCCGCCCGGCCGAGCCCGCCGCCCGCTCTGCGCCGCCACCGCCCCGCTCCGCCCCAGCCCGGCCCCCGCCGCGCTTAAAGGAGACGGAGCGGCCCCGCCGCCACCGCCCTTCCCCTCAGCCCCCGCCCCGCCTGAGGGGACCCACCCGGCTCAGTTCACCCACCCCGGTCACCGTCACCCACCTGGGTCATTGTCACACACCCCGGCCATCGTCACCTCCACCGAAGCTCACGAGGGACTCCCCCCTCCCTCCGGGGTTCCACCGGGATCACCAAAAAAAGCAGAAGGTATTGGTGCTGCTGCGCTGTCCCCGCTGCGGTGGTTGTTTTGAAATGTTTAAATTTTTTTCTTTTTTTTTCTTTTTTTTTTGTGCAGTCAGAACGCCTTGCTGGGAGATGGCAGTTAATGCTTGGTTTAATTAAGCCCTAATTAATTTAACCCTGACCCTAACCCCGCTCCTGCTGAGGATAACTGGTATAAATGAGCCAGCAGGGCAATTCATCCGGGAGGTCAAGGAGTTTAAAAAAAATCCCCATAAACAAAAACACAAGAAATTTCACCTCAACATGAGGGAGAACTTCTTTCTGTAGAGGTGGCAGAGCACTGGAACAGCTGCCCAGGGAGGGGGTGGAGTCTCCCTTTCTGGAGACATTTCAAACCCACCTGAAAATGTTCCTGTGCCACCTGCTCCAGGTGACCCTGCCTGGGCTGGGGGATTGGACTGCATGATCTCCAGAGGTCCCTTCCATCCCTAATGATTCTGTGATTCTGTAAAACATTCCTAAACTTACGGGACTGTGAGGAACATGGAAATATAGAATAGCCCAGAACTGGCTGAAGAATGTTGACGAGATAACAATTGTGCTAGATATCTAATTTAAACTGCCTTTAACACACTATATTGCTTATTATTTTCCAGAAGCCATGGCACCTGGAGAAGAAGCTGGAGACCTGCAGCAAGCGCTGCTGGAGTCACAGAGAGAGCAGGACACAGAGCTTCTCCTGCCAGGCTGGTGGCTCACACCCCACGGTACCTGCTTGGTGGCGCCTGTGAAGGAACCACGATTGTTCCAGGGGAAGGAAAGATCGGATTTCATCCTTCTCAAAAGCATAAAGGAAACAATGGATCCTGTAGGTCAACATGAAAGCACAGCAATAGGGCTGGTGGGGGAGAGAGCAGCATCCTACAGCACAAACCCCAGACACGTACCTATGTGTACACAAAGTCAAGAGGAAAGGCCTTGAGTGTGCCCTGTAGAGCAAACCTCCATCACCAGGACAGCAATCCTACATGTCATACTCCAAAGCATCAACACTGAATTGTGAACATTATTTCAGTTCTAGGACCTCATACTTAAAATGAAAAAACAGGCTTGTCTACATAGCCATGCTCAGGAGGGGCAAAACCTCCAAATGCTACTTCCTCTGCTTTGTAAAACCAGAAATAAGATCAAGGGGAGCTCAAGAGATTGAGAGCAAGTCTTGGGCATGCAAAGAGGAGCATTCCTGCAGTATCCCAATTACGCCCATGCAATGATCCAGCGTTCCCCATTAGCATGAGATCAAGGCTGATCACTGTGTTTAGGGCAGGAGTGGTAGGTCAAACACTCCCCCACACACGAGAGCAGCAGGAAGGAAAGGCCACATCATGCGAGGGCTCTCTTAGAGATCTTTAAAAACCAAAACCAATGTTCAGTTCTTACTCAGCATCACCTACCTCTCAAATTCTGAAGGCCAGTCATATTTAGCTTCAAAGCTGGTTATTGCTACCTTATATTAACATTTGCTTAAAAAAAAAAATAGAGAAAAAAAGTGCTATCTCCCAGCAAGGCATTCTGAGAATATTTTAAGTATAAAATAAATAAAACATTTCAAAACAACATTTGCAGTTTTACAGTACCTATTTTAAGTCTTCCATGTAGTTCAAGAACTAAACCTGAACTAAAAAAAAATCATGACACCTCAGCAACAGCACTGTATAAAACACTTCCACAACAACAGCCTGTACATTTACCTCAGTAAATTCTAAGCAAGCCACACAGGCTTCATCCTGTAGGAAAAGAGGGATAATTTGTCAAAATGAATTTGCAGTTTTCTAGGAAGAATAGCACTACATCACTTAAAGCAGAGGCAGCAGCCTTTAGCTACAACTAACATTTGATAAAGTTCAAGTCCTCTAGTCAGGTGCAAAGATAGGGACATGCCTTAAAATAAACCCAGTTATTTTGGAGACAGACCTCTTGGTTTGCCTTACAATGAGCATTTAGCTGATCAGTACCAGGTCAAGCCTGCCTGTTCTCCACTCCTCCTCCACAGTAAGGAATTCCAGGAGGCACAGGGAAACCCTAAGAGGTCCCAGCAGCATCTTTGGAGTATGTTTTTTCTGTTTCTTTTCATCAATCCCCAGTGAGAGGTGAAACACAGGCCGCTGTCTTCTGATGGTGTTCCTTCAACAAGGAACATCAATTCCTTGAACAAGGCTTTTAGCACAGGAGGAGGACTCAGCACTGCACTGCAGCACACACTGAGCAGAGACATTCAAGCTGTTTAAAGACATACCCACAGTGTGTGCCACACCGCTTAGTGGTGAGAGATTATCCTCCTAAACCTACAGACAGGAAGATAAGCATTCCCACACTGATGAGGGAAAGAGCTCAGGGAAGCTTCCTCCCAGCCTCAGACAGGGCTGGCTGCAGGCTCTGAGTCCAGCCGTGCCACCGGCTCTGCTGCCCGTCCTGCTCCCAGGAAAACCCCGGGGACAGCCTGTGTGTGCCCTGCTCCAGGCTCCTGCTGCTCCTTCGCCCTTCCCTGGCACAAACCTTACCTGTTCAGAGGCCTTTCCTCCCGGGACCCATCTTGAGTTACATCCTTGCAGCTACCTGTGTTCTCTCTCTCCAGTTCCACCCTGTATGTATCTCCTTTATATACTTCTGTTGGTTCAATTCACTGATCTGGAGAAGTTAAAAAACAATCTACACTGTGGTTTCCTTCCCAGGTTAGTGAACTTTAGGGGTTAATGGGAATGTTATGAGCACCCCAGCAAATGCAAGGGAGAGAACAAACCCAACTGGGAGCAGGCAGGCTGGGCTCGGCCCTCTGGGAGCAGCGAGCCAGCAGGGCAGACCAGCTGCCTGTGGAACCACAGGCCACTTTGGGACAGAGCACATAGAACACTAAAAATAAGCTGGACACTTTATATCCACCTTGAATGTAAAGAATCTTTCCAAAACTCCTCAGGAGTTTCACCCTTGCAAGCATCAGACTCGAGCTTGTTTCCAAACTGAAGCACATTTCCACACTCTGGGCTCTCTCCTCCTCCAGTTTAAGTTACTGTAGCACATTAACCGAGTACCAAATGAGGAATTTGGAACTTAAATTACCTTAAATTATCAAATTACTCTGCAGGTTGCTGTAATTACATCGGCCATATCTATTCTGTTGTTCTTACAACCACCACCTGCCCCACCACGCTATCAAGACACCTTTGGACTGCTCAAAGGTGAATCATTTTAAACATTACCAAACAAGACACCACCATAAACGAACATTTAAAAATGCCATTAATAAAAACAGAAATTTACTATAAATTAAAAAAAAACCAACAAAACAGACTGAGGCTGTTTCTTGATAAAAATTATTCACACAGCATTCGTGTTGTGATTTTTTTATTTTATTTTTTTGAAATGAAACCATTGTACATTGTACAAACCATAACTACCGATGGAATAAATAAGTGAAAAATTATACTGCTGTACAACACACACACACACAAATCATAAGATGGAAAACGATTAGGTATTGAAGAAAACAAAATTCTTTACACCTTCTAACAGGCCCTTAGATATAAAGAACATTCCAAAACATGACAATGTTTATGTATGAAGATAGCCACCCAAAACCGATATTTTATACTGCCTTGTTGATTTTTTTATTTTTTATTATTTTTTTTTGTTGTTTTGTAAGTGCCAGCACTTTTTGGAATGTTTTAACAACTACTTTCCCAAGCATAAAAATTCCAAGGAATAGTTCTGCTATAAAATGTTTGGCTGAGTAAATCGCTTATCCCGGAAGGCCTTCCCACGTGTTCCACAAACTCAGCTAAGTTACTTGCTTGCTTCTAGTTTCCTTTTTTTTTTTTTTTTTGGTCTTTTTTAGTTTTTTTAAATTATTTATCTGTAACTGAAGCTCCAACATTCAGCATTGTAGCAAGGAAGCACTTCTTGATATTTGCACTATTTCTAAAACATCAGCTGTATGAGAACTTTCAGTCATCTTGAAGAAAATTACATCTCTCCTCCTGCTCCACCTCTCAATGCTTTCAATAAACCCTTTTACAGTGAGTTCATAAAACAAGTTTCGGGTAGAGATAGGTCCAAGCCAAAACCAGCTGGATTTAGATCTGGTTTCAAACCTCAGGTGGATTTGAATTCCATATTCTGGTTTGGTCCCATCTGTACTTTCTGGCATTAAAATGTGTTTAATCACATCCGTTGGCCCATAAATGTTATCAGGCACTTCAAAGAAAGACTAATAACAGTCTTATACACTATTTTGGATTTCTTCATACCAGATAATGTCAAAGTCTCTTCCCTCAGAGACTGACAATAACAGGTCTAAGGAACCCAAATCTATCTGCTTGTTCAGTTGTCTGTTGTCACTAGAATCTCTGGTTAAAATAAAAGATCTGAATGTATTCTGTGTAAGCTGTAAATAAAGGATTCCTACCTCAGAAATAAAGCCTCTAGGGAAGATGGTTATGATGCCTTGTCTTGTAAGCCACAGAACAATGAACAGTTCTGAGCAGAAGCCACAGGAGAGAAAAGGAAGTTTATAATTAAACCTGTTGATGTCAATAATGCCAATAAATGCTTCTATCTAATGAAAAATTTGAGGTATTTTTTAGTGCTATTTATATATTTTATTTCTTCCTAAAGTACAGGAATTAGTTCCTAAATGAAAAGTCTATTTACTCCCTTGGAAACGTCTACAAAATGAAAATTAAAAACTTGCTGCGATGCACCTGAAGAGAGGGATTAGTAAACACGACTACTTGTCAAAGGTGGCATCAGATTTGTTTTGTTTTAGCATTAAAAACAACGACAAGTTAGTAAACCAAAAAAATATTTTAAAAGTTTGAATCTTTCTAGATTTGCCCATTTAATATATCAATAGAACTTCTCACAAAATATCACTTAAATCTGAATGTAATATACATACAAATCAATCGTCATGGACCAGTTATCCACATTTTAGGCATACACACAATTCAAGAGAGAATTCTACCGTTTCATTGCATATATTGTGCAAATTCAGTTTTTGGCTCCTCATTTCCTTATTTTCAGGATGTTAATGGACTTCACGATCAGACCAGAAATCCCAAAAGCCTATTAGGGAGCACGCCGTTTTCAGGAATGATTTGCAATCCGGTTTTTTATTCGGTTAAAAATCCAAAAAGTTTTATTTCAACAGAAAGGAAAAGTTCCGAAACTGAGTGTCATAGGTTACGTGGAGTTCAGTCCTACAAACATCTTCCGGAAGGTCAGTATTGGCTCCCCGCTCCTCCCTCCCCCTGCTCCCTCCCCCCAATTCCTCATTGCTTTTCCTAATAAAGTGGTAATTGCAAATGTAATGCAGTAGTCTAAGTGCAAGCCATTTTCACTATTGGAGAATCCCAACCTAAATTAAGCTTCATGAAGAGCTAATAATGAAAATGTATCGACTGGAAGCGATTTCATCCTTTTCACCTAAAAAAGTATTTACAGTTTTTTTTTTTCAGCTTACAAACTACACGCAACCATTTCCAGAGCTGTGAGATCGTAGTTTAAATGACAGGTTCCATCTCCCACGCCAAGTGAGGACAGAGTCAGGGCCTGATCCAGCAGTATGGATGGATGGATGGATGTGTGTGTGTGTGTGTGCACGGAAGCGGGAAAGGAGCGGTTCCACCGACACCGGGGGTTTATTCCCTGGAAGTACAAAGCCCACTGGAAGACCAGACCCTTGTGACCTGACGCAGATGGTTCTGCTCGCCACGAATTGGAAGGGAGTTGCACCTACCTCGTGCCTTTCCATCAAGTTTAGCCTAAGCACACTTGAGTTGGGAGAGAAGGAACATTTCTAACTGATGTGGGGACTGTGGAGACAACAAGGCTTATTTACAAGACTTGCTGAAAGAGAGGAGGAAACCCCCAATACAGTATTTTCCTGGAACACAGAAGTAAACATCTCACAATGAAACAGTACAGTGAAATCCAGTTCAGTGAAAACATGATATCAAAAAAGACCAATTGAAAATAAACTGACTGTGCATCAATCCCTTTGATCCTATTTATGTACATAGTGGAACTTTGCTGTAAAGTTGTACCCAGTACAGAGATCTGGACCTAATACGTAAGTATTTTAAGTGCCTGTGTTATAGTATATATTCAGATCTGGACTATAAATGGTAAACAGATCATGTTAACTTCTGATGAAGTTAAGTATTTAGAAGACCAAATTTACAGTTGCGAATGCCATGCATTCAATAAGAGATCTCCACTATAGCTGCTAAAATAAAACATCAAGCTCCTTTTTCTCCTTGGACTCCAAGAGTGAAAATGGCTTCCTGATCTGTAGTTGTTTAAAAATTTAAGCACCAGGGATTTAAAACTTAAAAACGAAAGAAAAAAAACCCAAACAAAACAAACAAAAAAGGAAAAAAAAAGAAAGAAAAAAAGGAAAAAAAAAAAGCCTTTCTACATGGCATTATACAAACATAGGCCACTTTGCAAAGGAGACAGTTGCAAAACAACTTTTAAAAGTTAGCACTGTTTTCAGAACACAAGGCACAAAACAAAAGCAGACATCACGCCAGAACAATGAACTTCACATGAAAGCTAATACCTGACCTGTACCATCCTTAAATATCTTACAATGTTAAATAGAGAAATGAAAAAAAAAAAAAATACAGCAGCAACATAATTGTAATTTTGACTTTAGAAACAGTGCGTAGACCCCTCCTGAGTTGTTTACTCCAACCATTTCAGAGACAGTAACTTAAAAGTTCTCAATGTTTGTTTCACAGGAAAAAGTTTTCAGTGTCTGAGAAGTTAAACCTTTGTTAGGCTTTCTTGGATTTTTGCTTGGTAACTTGAAAAGTTAGGAGTTCTGTCCTCATCCAAGAGAAGATGCTTAAGTAAGGTTGTTCTATAATTAAGCCCATTGATGTACCTTACATAAAATCTGACCAGAAAAATCTATAGTCTAAATCTCTTCAACATTTTGTTGGGAAGCCTCTACTTTCATCTTTTTAGAAGGTGGCACTCCTTCAAAGTCCTTAATGAGGGGGGAAAAGAAAAACAGCCACGTTATCATTGCACTGAAGTCGAGGCACCGTAAACATCAAACAAACAGCCCGAAAATGTCCCGTGTGGCAGCCAAAGCATCCCTGGATGCCAGAACAACACTCCCAAGTGCATCTGCTCCCTGAAATCACTCCTCTACTTACATCTCACCTCCACATCCTTACACTTGTTGTCGTCTACAAAGGGCAAAATTCTAGTTCCAGGCTAAAAACCACAGGGAATATTCCGTGGAATGCAGGGTTATCCCTGCACCAGCACACAGGGATCTCCTCCTGCTGCAGCCAGAGCAACCTCTACAGGACAGAACAGGCAGGTTTGGGAAGTGCCAGGTGTGCACTGGAACAAACCACTGACCCCCAGGAGAACCAGTGGATGAGGATCTGGAGTTGTCCTGCCCTGAGAAGGGCACACCTGAAAGGATAATTTCTTTCTCCCACCTACTCAGAAATTTTCAGTGTATCAGAGTAAATAGCCAAACATCTCATCCATCTATTCTATAAAAATTAACTTTCCTAAATGCCTATGCATTTACCTTTATAGAAGGCATTTTACCTCTGAATGGTCCTCAAAGGGGCCCGTTCAGTAGGTTTGGTCCAAGCAATTTATTAATGTAAAATTTTATTCCATTACAAAACACAGACTGGCTTTTAATAACCAAAAAATCAATCAGACCAATCTGGTCTTACTGTTCCAATTATGTGAAATTCAAGCAGCCAGTCACCTTTGGAAATTATTCTAAACACACAACTGGCCTCATTAATATTTTTTTACTAAAAATACTCTTTTCCAAAATCCAAGTAATTGGGCTTTTGCACTTTAAGTTACCTGAGAGTTTTTAGATGCCTCTGTAATTATATCATTTTCTCCAGAGGACTGAATTTCTGCTTTCTCTGAACTATTCATGGAATTTTCCATTGAAGACTGTGAATTCTGTTCATCAGAGGTATCTGAAATTTCAAGAAACAATTTTAAGCAAACAAATCAAAGCATTCAGCAGGAGCTTTTGGGATGTCTTCCCACCAGCAGCATCCCAAGCACATGCACTTCACCCACATGTAATGGTTAATGACAACATACATAACAACCGTGTGAACACCACGAATTAAGCTCCAAGTCCAGGATCACAACCCGGCTGCTGCCACAGCTTCTCCTCCCCAGTGGCGGCAGCAGAGCCCTGGGATCAGACCCTAGAGGGAGCCAGAATCCCACACACCCTCACCCAGCCAGCAGCAAAGTCTCAACACAAACTGACTGCAAACAAACTTCCCCCAAAGCAGAAGGAAAAGGCTGCTACAGAAAGGGCTAAACTGTGATAACTAATGGGTCTAAAACTGTGTGGCTACAGAGAGAATAAAATTGCCTGAATCAAAATTCAGCCATATAATTAAAATCCGCTTTTTTGCTTGATGCTACTTTTAAGAATAGAATTTAGAAATTCAGCTAACTAGCTTCACCATTAAGGTTGAGGAGTTTTTAATTTTGGTGCATAGCTGTGGAGAAGTCTTCCAGCCTGTTTTAGCTGTTCCTGCTTTCAATTTTAGTTGGGATTTTTTTGCTTTGGGTTTTTCGGTCTTTTAGTTGTTTTTTTAAACCCTTCTGTCTCTCAAAACATGACTTACAGAAGACTCAAGGTTTAAGCATCCATTCACTCAAAAGAGAGGCCAGAGGCACTCTAAATGTCTTCACAGATTAAAGATCCCTGAAAGTGTAACATAGTGTGTCCAGAAGCAGGGAATCAACAAAAAAACCCTAACCAAACAAAAAAACCCACCACCCAAACCCCTCTGACTGTAAAAGGTCAGTTATAGTTTCTCCAGTATCCACTTCAGGAACAGTTTAAGGACCCCATTCTTTCCTTCACCTCATTTTAAAATCCTTTTTGACTTAGATTCTCACAAGTGTGGGTGAAGTTTTATGTAGCGATCGCTTCACAGATCCCTGACCCAAGAAACTTGAAGTTATGCCAGATGAAGAGAAATGCAAGATCAAACCAATTCTGGACAGCTCTGGTTAACAAAGACGACATAGGCATTGAGTGATGGATATTTCTGTGACACACTGGATAAAAAGCATTTCAGAGTTCGAGATAAAGCGATGCCCATGATGAGCATCTCAAAGATCACACTCCACAAACTCGGGCAGGATCCTCGTCCTGTCCACGTCTCACCCGAAAAGCATCTCCATGCTGACAGAGAAACAAGTCCCAAGGGTCAGAAGACATTTCAATTTGAATTTTTGCTGTGCCTGCCTCAGCAGACACGGAGCTGAAGAGCTCTGCCATGTGCCCATCTCCCCACAACAGACTCCTTGTGGCCGCTGTTCTCTTCCAGGTGCTCCTGACAGTACCCTCAGGCTGCTGCTGACCCTTTGGGCAAGGGGACTCATGTTTAAACAGCCAAGCCCCAATGCCTGCAGTGAATTGTTCACACAGCAAACTGTTTTGAGTGCACCTCTTTTGTTTAAGAAGTCCTCCTTGGGCATTTCTGCCCACCCAAACTCTCCCCTGGCTTAAAAGTACCTTCTCGATTTCAGTGAAGCAACGTGAAGGGTCCTTAACCCTGTCCAGCTGAATAATGTCACAATTCCAGGGCTCTGACTGACCCTTTTGGTAGATAAATGTTTACTAAATTGTATAACACAGCACATAACCAACAGAAAAAACCCCACGTTACCAACAGGTACTTTTTGCCATTATATCTCCCTTTCATTTCACAGTAACTGGCTCTGGAGCTCATCCAGAGGACTTGGTGTGATTTTCCCTGAACCTAAATTTAGCCAGGGGAGCTTTGTAACAACTTCCCATCACCAGGTTCAGACAGTGTTACTCCTGGGAGTAAATCCTTACCATTTAATGTGGCCAAATATGCAAGCTGGGATTTTCTTTGAAGGAAACGGTGCTCTGATTTATTTCAATTTGGTGACAGTTCTGTTGTCAAATTTTAACCCCAGTTAACAATGATAATATTTTTACATACTTCACCACTGGCATTACCCAGATAAAGGCTCTAAATTTAAATTGGTCATTGGATCTACTGAGTGAAGAACTAAATCAGGAGGGCATAATTTAATTGCTTTGCTATGGGAAGAATTCTGCAACCAAATCATTAGAATGGTGTTAAGGACATCTTTTATCTGCTATAATAGGACGAAGGAAGTTATCTTTCCAAGAATATAAACACAGAGCACTTTTCAATTACCCAAAATACCATTTAAAGAATGAGGTTCAGAACAGTCTCTTAACCCACATGTATTTTTAATCTGTGCACAACTGCAGTTACAATCTTGTAACGCTCTTAGAAAATTAGGGCAGAATTCAGAGCTTACTTTTGAATAACTAATTAGCAGGGTTAAGAGAAAAGAAAGCTTACATTATAGTTTAGACAATTTAAAAAAATAATTTCAAATTATCTCACCTCTATTTCACTTTCTCACTAGACAACAAACATTCACAGACCTACACAAAGTAATACCCTCCAGGGTTTGTGTGATTACACGGTAGCAGCCATTTCAAAGATGAAAAATTCTTTCATTTATAAATTATTTCTTCTTTCAAGGCTGAGATTATGACAACAATACACCAAGTATTTTGTCTCTCTCTGAAAAGACCCTGAATGTCAACGTGACCTTTCCAGCTGTATGAAGGATCACCAGGAAGTCAGAGAGACTGTGGCCCATTTTCACATAAATGCTGAGAATTCAGCAACCATCTCTTTCAAACTGTTGGGTTTTTTCAGTTCTTAAAGTGGATAATCAAATAAATGACACACTAAAAGGATAACATTTCTTTGTTTGGCTTTGAAGGTGGCCTTCCCAGCTTACCTTCTGAGCCAGGCTGCTCCTTTGCCTCTGCCTGAGTTTCGTCAGACTTGACTTCAGTGCCGTCTGCTTGTGTTGCCAAGTTCTGCTCTGGTGCTGGACTTGAATTACTACTGTTTTCCTGTTTTATTGGAGAAGCATCAGCTATTGAACTCTGGTTGCTATTGTCATCTGTTAACAAAAGAGTGAGAAACAACCAAGTTTAATGTGACAAGACACGAAGCAAACCTTAATTCCCCCGTATTTTCCCTGTGTTATTCCCTGGTAACACATGATATAATTTACCTCATTAGGGATCAAGTCCAAGCATTCAGACTAACACTACATTTAACTTTTTTCCACATCAGCCTAAGGAGTTTTCTAGCAGTTGCTAAAAATCAGAAAACTTCAAACCCCACGTTCTAACTAATTTTATACATCAAAACCAAGAGTGTTTTACTCAGCTCTCATCCAAAAGCACCCAGAGTTTTGCAGTATAAATAAACCAGACAGACTGAAGTGACAGTCTCATTAAGGGCTAATTAACTGTTCATGCTGCAGATTTACAAATACCCATCACTCCACTGTTCAGATGAGCAGATGTTTTTTGAAATGTATCCTCAAGGTCGACAAAAACCCCAAGCCAAAACCCCTCAAAAAAAAAACCCCATCAAGATAAAATGTAACATCCAGTCCCAATATCAATAGTTCCTAAGTAATAATTGTCCAGGATATTCCCACGTCCTCAAAGACCTGGATCACAGTTTCTGCAGCACAGATATTGTCTCTGCAGTCAGAGATCAGGTCAAGTTTATCATGCAATTGTACAGCATGGCTTAGAAACATAAATGATATGATAAAAAAGCAAGTAGTACATTCACCTTGTGGATGGGAGTAACAAGACTTAAAAAAATTAAATGAGCTGACCTAGGCAAAAAGCCCAGAAGTTTGAAACAGATGAAAAATTAATCCAGATTTGTGAAAACCCTGCTCAATCCTTTAATTGCAACACCACACTTGCTGTGAACACTGCAAAAACCAACCAGGAGGCAACAGAAATGCAAATAAAACCGAAATGAAAAATTTACAACCCACTAAAGAGTGATCCCCTCTTATCAGCTCAAATAGTGTTGCTTTCTCAGCCATAATTGTTATCCAAACACCCAGAAGGTAAAAACTTGAAACAGAACTGAGCTGTGCAAACTCCTCTCTAATAAACACCAGGTAAACACTCAGCAGTCACGCTTTAAAAAAAAAAATTAAAATAAAATAAAATTGACCTAATAGTGCCTGACTGGCAAGCCAAAAAATATTTCCTTAAGCAGGTAATTTCATCAGGCTGAAGGAGAAGGAAGACAACACAGAAACACAGCTTGTTTTCTTGGCCCTTGCAGAATTCCTTCGACCTTAACCAGTTACAGAGTTAATAAGTACAAAACCTGCACAAACTGCAGGAGGTACCACTGAGGCTTTGGGGGTCTTTGGGTTCTTCAAGCAGCAAACTCGACAGTTACTACTTCACCTCAGTGTAGTATTTGGAACAGTAGATATTTCCAGTTTTCTGTTTAGCTCCACTAACAATTTTTTTCCCCCACGCTCCTAGCCCAAATAAAAATGTCATTTAAACAACTGTTAGTACATCCACAGAAGAGAAGTCCAAGGTACCAAATAAGCATCTGATGCTGTTTTCCCTTTGGCTCCATCACACTGTCCATACACTGGAGCAAGGTTGGATCTGATGTTGCTGGCAGTGCAGGAGGGGAATTGGGGCCGACCTTCTCCCACTCACCGTGCATGTCCATCATCCCTGGGGAGGAGCTGTTCTCTGGAGTGGTCACTTCAGAGCCACATTTTTCATCTTTGCCCTTTTTCTTATTCTTATTTTTCTGAAAAACAAAAAGCATCACGTGCAAATGAGGTACCACCACCACCAGGAAGAGAAATCCATGTTGCAGTGCAAAACCCTCATCACTCATTACTTCCATAAGCACCTCTTAATTTTAAGTGAGAAATAAAGCCAGTGTGATAATAACTGCCATTATCCATAATGCATTAGTCCCAATAACTTCAGGGCTGCTTTTCCATTTGTATTCTTCCTGACACAGAACACCAGGATTTATGGGTTTTTATCCAGGAATTCTAAGAACAGCACTAAACATGATCTTAAAGTTCTTTTCCAACCTGAACGATTCTGTGATTCTGTTCTTCATCTTCAAACCGCACCATTTCTGTAAAAAGCACAGAAGTTCTCAGAAACCCTCCTGGTTCTACACCCAGGAATCTGAGGCACAGTGATTAAAGGGTTTGCTGCGACAGACTCTGAGAACTTGGCAGGTGCTGCTGCCAACTCTGTACTCAGCCCTGAGAGCTACGGAGGCAAGGTCAAAGGAATCTCTGCTACACCAGGAACAGGCAGTAATATTGCTGATCAGAGGCAGGGCTGAGATCCCCCAAAACACCCTATTTCTGAGCTCCCAGCTCTGCTCTGTGTGGTTTATGTCTATCAACACACCACTACCCGACCCACTACATTGTCCCTTTCCTCTCAGGAGGCTTCAAGAGCACACCAAGACACCGTTGACCACAGGAATGACAAAGATCGTGAATTCTACACTCAAGAGACAGCTTTTTACCACCTCTTCAAAGGCTGCAGAGACCTCCACCTTCCCTACAACCAATGCTGTTTCTTCATCCTAACTAAAAGATGGGAGTAAGAAAAGTCAGGCTGGCCTAAAACAAAGAGCACAAGCAAGACAGCCCTGTGTGAGCAGCAGGTGCCAACCTGCTCAGGACTGACCCCCAGCACAGAGCACGGGCACTAAAACAAAGGGAGAGCCCGTGAATCCGTCACGTGGGAATCTGCGCCCGCCGAGGGACGCGGCATTTCCAATGAGGAGGTGACGTAATCAGTCTCCCAGGAGAAAGAGCAGCTGCACTGCTTTTGGAGGATCCTGCTGCCTGCTGAGGACACAATGGGAAGCCTGACTCCAGGAAGAACACTCTCAACCCATCCTTTTGGACAGAGAGCGTCTTCCAGCAGGGGAAGGAACTAAACCACAATCAAACATTGTCTGAGACTGCAGAAGAAATTCAACAAGTGATATCTGGGAAGGACTTTTGTCTTTCTTTTAAACAGATTATTTAGGTTATTTCTAAACTGTATTTTTACTTCAGAGAAGCCACATTTTACTCCCTAACAGAGGTGAGAGTACACGGACTTCTTTACCTTTGCAAAATGAAAGTTCAGAGGGGTCATAATCTCTCTCGAGGCTTGGTTTTGTTATTTTTGTAAAGGCAGTAAAGACACTTTTGCCACAAAAGAAATACTGAAAATGACAGCAAGCAATTTAAGCTGAAAAGTGCTTTACAAAGGTTTCACCATCAAAGTGGTGAGGATCTAGAACAGCCTTCCAGACCCAACAGGAGGAAAAGAGCCCAGCTAATTGTAGTTCAGAGAAATGTCAAACTGTCTTTGGAACAACACATGAGGGGGGAAGAAATCTAATCACTGTTCACTAAAATCAAAGACAACTTCCACTTGACAAAAGGAAAGGTCCCATTCTCCTACTCTAGTGAAAAGCAAATCACTGTCTGCTCCTTCACAGTGGGTGAAATTGGATATAAAGGGATGCCCACAACAAAATCAAATAGCCAGAATTAGCCCTGCCTGGTATTTATTTGTAAAATACATGCACTTGTTTTATTTGTGAGAACTTCCAGAGCAAGAAGATAGAAACCCTGTGACATCAATGTTGCAACAGCTGCAGCATGAAAAGAGTGTGACTGTAGGACACCAAAGTAACCGGTCTTGAACAAATGTCCCAATTTCAGCAAATCTGGAGCCTCAACCTACAGACGATGGCTCAGAAAACACAATTAAACTCTGCACAGAGCCCATTATAGAAACCCATTCTTCATAACAGGGAATCTGACTTCAGGTACCAGTGACCTTGAAAACTCATCCAGAAGCTCACTTAGAAATTCTATTTCCAAGTCCCACAGCACCCATCCTGCAGGAACACCTTCACTGCAGGAAAATGATCTTCAGAAGCCATGAACCTAAATATCCTAAACCTTGCACTCTCTCTCTCTCTCTCTCTCACGTGGATAGCACACTTCTCTCCCCATCCCAATTATTATCAAATAAAAAAAATCCAGACCAAACATCTGACAACTAGAAAGAATGAAGAGATTTCTCTAAAGAAAGTTTCCCAGCTCCTAAGGGGTTATTTCACAGAGATGCTGCTCAAGCACTGGAAGAACCCAAGAGGTTTCCCACAACTCTGACAGTCATTGATATATGAGGGACAACCAAAGGCACAGGAAGAAACAAAGTGAAAGCACGTGAAGCCCAAGGAAGGAGTACCAAACTTAGCACATATATTCTGTAGTATCATTATTTTACTGTGGTATCATGGATTAGTTTTCTCTCTATTACAATATCTCAACCTTAAAAAAAACCATTGTTTTGAAAATCCATTTGTAAGTTCCACCCATTTTGATCTTTACCGTAATTTTTATGCCACATGAAGAGTGTAGACTGAGAACACAAACATGATGCATACACAGAACATTTATGAAGAGAGAACACACATTACAACACAAGTGTTTGTGCTGTATTACTTGGGCTGGACAGCTTAACACAAGCCACCTCAGTTCCACAGGGTTTTCCTGCCCTCACATCAGCGTTTTGCATCTATTTTTGAGCAAAACAGAGAATACTCTGCCTGGTCCCAAACCACTTCTTTCCTCTAAAACATCAGGTAGAAGGAGGGAAAATGGTCAATGTCTTAACTTTCCCTCCCCGCTTCCCAGTCATTACATTAGAGAAAGGTTTAAAAAAATCAGTTTCAGGCTGAATATTTAACAGTTATCTGAGAGCTGATCCCAGCTGACTCCAGGAAGACTCACCCACTGACCCATCAACATCACTTTCCGTAGAGATCAACATCTCCCTGGAGCGTGCAAGACCCACACCAGTCTTAGCTTAAAGGCTCAGAGAAGATCAAGAATATTTCTTTGGATTTTCCCTAAACACAAAGGAACAAGCAGAGACTGCAGGATATACTTACATCATCGACCTTGGGCTCTGTTACTGGGACCCATTTGTAAATCCTTAGGGATGTGTCGCCAACTGTCACCCACTTCTTCTCCCTAGAAAATTACAATGCAGGAGAAGTTAAACTTCGAATTCAGAAGACAGTGATCTCCTATTGTAAGTTGTCAAGGATTTAAACAGGCTATTAAGTAGGATGATCTCTATTACATCGTCTTTAGCACTGCACTGTGCAAATTGTTCTTTGCATTTCACAAAGTTGTTAGAGCACTGCTACCCTCCAGACTTCTCAGGGCTGTTACTTGACTGGGTGAGTAACTGCAGTAGCAGTAATAAGCTCTGGATTAAAGGTACAGTTAAGAAGAACAGCGATTGAAAATGCAGATTAAATGCAGATTTAATGCCTACAATTTTCACTTCGGTTTCTAGAGAGCAGAAGAGGGTTTAGACAGACCAGTGTGTTCTGAAGCTGTTTAATGGCATCAGAAATCTAGATGCATTTTGACCATCTGAGGTTTATTTTGGGGCAGAAATTTGCTGTTGGCAGTTTAACATTCACTCCACACCCCTGACAGACAGCTCTGCAATTCCAGCCGTAGGACCAACAGCCTCTCTGGAAGCAACGAGTGCTGTGATGTAGAATCCAGGCTCTGGGGAGCCCAGCTCCTTGGAAAAAAAGCAAGGCTGAGGCTACCAGAGAGGGAAAATCATAACCTGGAGCACTGAGCGGGCCCTGCCAGCCGTGAATGGTGACACTGACAAATTGTGAAGGAAACGTGGCTGGAGGGGGCGGCACCACCTCGGGGGGTCAGAGCGGAGAGCGAAGGGACGCTCAGCGCGGGGGTGAGGGATGAACTCCCTGAGCTCTCTCCAGCAGGGTATTAAGAGAAGGTCCACAATGCCAGAGAAATTTCATCCCGTGCCTGTGATCAGTTTTCAGGTCACAGATTCCCGCTGCTGGTTCCTGGGTTTGCAAAGCAGCTCTGCAAACGGATCGATTGGAAGTTACCAACAAAGAGCGATTCCATTAAACATTCAGGAACATCTGAAATTAATTTGGCAGGAGATCTGAAGCATTATTTAAAAAAAAAAACACAACCCAACACACATTTAAATCATAGATTTGGGATCCAGTTCTAGGTTAAAAAGATTTTAAAAAGTGTTTTTTGCAGGATGGGAGAAGCTGGATGTGACTCCAAATATCTATATCTATATCTATATTTGTATGTGATAGCTTCATTTTTAGACAGGACCTCCAGAATCAAAAGCACCCACAAACATCCTCCTATTTTTTAGCTACTAAAGCCAATATTTTATTTTCCCTTTAGAAGAGACATTGTCCTGTTTAATTAAAAAAAAAACCAAACTAAAATATATATGAGTATTTGATACATTTTGGATCTGTCTATAAGGAGATTTTAATTTAAGTCCAAAACTATTTGAGATGTATTTCTTTCCCACTGCTCTTCCTGGAGTACAATTTCCCCTCATTTCATTTGGATACAACCATTTGGGTACACTAGGTGGCTTAAGTATGTCAAAATCCAATTTCACTCTAATTTGGAGCTCTACATGAGATAAAAATGACAGTGGAGATGAGGGCATGTCAATAATGAGAACATACTTAATTGTGAAGAGATGACCATGACATAATTTGGGGTTTTTTTAAGGATACAATACAAACTAGGTTTACTCCTACTTTAGAAAACCTTTGAAATTATGGAAATAAAACCAGCTGGGGTTCTGTTTTGGGTGTGGGGAGAGGTAAATAAATGCTTTTTACAAAAATCAAGGTTTTAGTCTTTTCCTACAGCAAAATATTACTTAGAGATGCTGCACTGGAAAACCAAAAGTTCAAGATACCTGTTAGCATCTCAAAGCAGCCTCACACAGCATCTTCACTGGACAGACTGTAGAACACAGGAGGAAACCTATATTAGTAACTTTTTCCTTCTAGTATTAAAGTTAGCCCTGACATTTTAATTCTTTTGAGCTTCTTAAGTACCATTTTAAGTTTTGGTAACCCTCAGCTACAGGGATTTTTTTTTTTTAACTGAATTCAATACACAGTAATTCAAACAACAGTGGGAAGAAGGATATTTTGTGATGGAAGTACACCAACACCCCAGTCCTGCAAACACTCAGGGCTGAAAACAAAACCCAACATCACGCTGCTAGTATGCAAATATTTTACACCTGTGAGCATTTACAGTATTGAAGGTTTAAGATACATGAAAGTATCAGTAGGAAACCTCCTCTAAAACGCAATAAAATCATCTGCAGCACAAACACAAATTTGTTAACAAAGAAACACGACGACTTTGAGACACTGGAGATCAACAGGGTAAAACAACTCCAAGATTAAAGATGTTTATTGCAAATTAAGCTTGGAATATTATGTGTAATACTGCCTTTCCACTTCACAACAAACCCCAAAATCCAAACAAGCAAACAAAAAACCCCAAACCCGCTTCTGCTCTGACCACTCTTTTTAATCTTTTGTGCAAAGACACCATCCCAGCCTGCTGGTCATGGACTGCCCTTCTCATTCCCTGAGAACTGACAATCTACTGATGCTGCCCCATGGCAGCAACTTTGGGAAATGCTGCACAAACCACAAAATACCCTCCCTGACCCAGCCCCGGAGTGGGAATGAGGAATTCCTGAGCTCCTGTGCCCAGCCTCCTGGGAGACTTTAAGCAGCTTCTCCCCATTTTCCTGTCTGTTGCACCCACTCATCCCGAGATCCTGAGCAGAATTCCACCTTTGGTAAGTGATCACCAGGCAAAATATGTTATCACACCACCCTCTGTTATCCCATATAGGTTGGTCTCCATATTGACTGGTGGACTGGAAAAGGTGCCCAATGGAAATCCATCAACCTGACAGTTTATCAGGCTGAAAATGTGGCAATGATCAACTTTACTTGTCCGTGTCTAGCTGATAAACTCTGCACCCTCACAAAAAAATACTCGTTTTGCCTGTTTTAGTACTTCTCCTGTTCCTCAGTGAATGACTCAGAAGTAACAATAAGAAAGTGGCAAAACTTAGAATATATAGATCAAAATGCTTTTTCCTTTTCATTTTCCACACTGAAAAGTATCTTCAATATTTTAGTCACAGTAAATCCAGAAACTAATCAGTGCAACAGAAACAAACCCTTACATTTATCTGAAATTGTGTTAAAGCATTTTTAAATTCTGAACTGTATCTGCACAGCATTTAAAGGACAGCCAAGGGTACATAGGGTAAGCATCAGTATCAACACTTCTTCAGTGCTGATGCCTGAGGCATACTAATATCCCAGAACTTACATCATTATATACTCAATTCCCCACTCTAAAGAGCCCAAGACTCTTAAATACATTTATATTTTGTTTAATAACACTGGAGCTCCACAGATGAGTATCGGATTCCACGTATAAAAGTACTATATGGGTGAGCAAAGACAACAGTGTACGTTACACTTGCACAGAAAGTGTCAAGGCAGCTTCTGCAGCAGCAGGGAGTGCCAGAAACATTTGATGGCACAGACACAGAAACCCTTTACTGCCAATATATCACTCAAGGAAAGGCTTTCCCACTTGTCTGGCCTTTTCCTGTGGCTCTCATCCATCACAGTGATCTGCATTTACACACGGATTTGCTCCCACATACCCCATCTTCTGCTGATGGTCACGAAGTGATGTCATAATGCTGAATTTATCACATCACACTCACTTGCATTGCAACAGAGTTTGGTGAAAATCACAGAATTATGACCTCCCTGTGGGATCAAGCAAAAGAGAGAGGGGAATGGGAAAGAAAATGCCATTATTATACACAAGAAGTGCTGTGAGATGCACAACTGACTGCGTGAGGCGCAGGCTCGCCCTCCCGAGCACAACCACTGCTGTGGGGATGTTTGTCTAGTGACTAACCTGAAAGAGCCCCAGACACACGTGGTGCTTATTGACCAGGCTGCAAACACAATAAAAAGCCATGCAGCATGACTGGACAAGGACAGGTGGCTACAGACACCTTCCCTCTGAGCGTCCCTAAACATGGCACATTTTGAGAGCCCCCTGTACCTTACACGGCCCAGCGTGTTTTAAAGCAAGCCCTGCTTGGTTCCACGTGGCCACGAGCACCTTTCTAACAGTGGAGAGAACCATTTACACGTGCCAGAACTCTACCTTCAACCTCAGCTTCCACTAAAGTCAGAGAGCACATCCTGGCTCAGAGATAAATAATCAAAGACAGAAAAAAAAGTTTCAGAATTCAAGCATCGTAACAGTGTGTTTGGGCCACTACAAAACTTCAGTACGTTCCTGCACATACACTGGGTATTTTTACTTCAACTGCCACTACTTGAACTGAAATCTTAGCAGGAAACACAAAAGAGCCAACACAGCCAGGTTGAAGGAGGGTGGTGGTCCAGGAGTAGCAAGCAGTCTTTTTCCAAAGACATCATGTTAGGAAGTTCTATGTCATAACTCCTTTTCAGAGCAAAAGCCTATTTTAAGAAGGAAGCATGAGCAGCAAAACCTGCAGAAGCCCAATCTCTGAGCATTACATACCACAGGAAAACATTTTAGCAAGTCTGAATGGAGACAGTGAACAGAAAAGCTACAGCAGCATTGCCCAGAAATTCTAAGCAGCCACAGCCAGCGATCCCAACCACTGGTAGCAGGTAACACAGCCAGGGGGAACTTTGCTCCTCAACTTTCTCCAAGTGCTTTCTTGTACAACATCAGTTGTCCAGGTTCACCTCCTCTTCCTAAGGTGCCACCACTACCCCCAGATTAGGGCTTTGATGGGTCAGAGAAAGGTCAGAGGATTCTGCAAAGATACTGCAATTCAAAGACAAGGCAGTGACATTTCCTCATTCCTGGTACCCGTTCCCACCAGGTATTCCAGACCTCCATCCTCACATGTCTGCACAGTTGTCCAAAAGTCCAGCAGTGCTACATACCCATGCAAGTTATTTCAGTGCCTCCCAAGACATCCTTCCACTTATGCCTCCTGCCCGTTACTTGTCCTTCAGTAAATGTCTGTATTTTCCTTCATTTAATAAATCAGACTTGGATAAAACCCAAGAGTGTTTCCAGTATTTTTCTATTGCTGCTTGAGGGCACAATAGTTTTTGCCCCTCTCATCTTGAGAGCCCACTTATAATTTACAAGTACCCATCAACCTTTAAGACAAAAACCAACCCTGTACCTTTCACAATCCAATGAGACAGAGTAATCTCAGGATTTTTTTTAAGACAGACTGCAAGAAAAATTGCAAGTACTGTTAAAAAAACCCCAAACTATTCTCTTACTGTGGAAATTCAACTTTTCTGCCACACAAATACAACGTAACCACAAATTCCCTAAGCCACGTGCTGTGTGTTTTCCCAAACAGATGCTCATTCACGAGAGTGGTTTAAACAAAGGAGATAAGGTTACAGTAATCTCAAGATAAAAACGTAACAACTTCACTGTTTACTACTGAGTTCCAGTAATAACCAGAAGTGCCACGTGCTGCGGGTGGACATGAAAAGAGGGGACCTGCATCCAAGGGCTTGCTGTCCAAGAACACTAATTTCCCAAGGAACAAAGTCTGTCCTGGTGGAAGCTGCATCCCAGCAGGCCGGTTCACAGACGTGGCAGCGCAGGGATTCAGTGATACCACACAGCAAGGTGCTGCACACCTTCCCGGGTGGATAAAGCTCTGGATAAAGCCACTGTCTGCTCAGGTGAGTTCACAGCCCCACCTGCCTCCCTGCTCATCCCGAGCACGCCGCACTCCGAGCATGCGAGTCGCACAAAACTCTGTCCTAGGAAATGTTGGGTGCAAGGTATTTTAATTTTCAGTGGCTGCATTTCCACAGAAGAGCTGTGGATGGCAACAAATTGCTCCTATTATGCAAATGAAACTGCACACTTGGAAATTGCCGATGTGGCTCTTCTGAAGATGAAGGAATTGCCAGTGTGGAAAGTTCAATTTAACAAGCCAAGTCTTCTCAAAGCACTGAAACCACAAAACACAGAATCTCTCTTGCTAATTTCCCACTGTACTTGACTGCAGGTGTAGGGGGAGAATCATGGAATTCACCTTCAAATTATGATTCCTTTAAAAATAAGGAAACTGGTTTATGTAAATCCTTCTGGGGTCCACACGCAAAAAGCCTTATCAATACGTCTGACAATAATCATCAGAAGCATTACATGATTCCACACAGGAACCCTTTAAACAAGTTGTCTCTCATGAGGGTTAACATGTAGAAAAATCTATTTATACCATAAGATTTCTGTTTTTACAGAGAGAGAGCCATAGCAACTGACATGATGGCAGAGAGCCCTTGCCAAGAAAAAATAAATAAATGAGGTATTTTGTTGAATGGCCAAGCTGCTGTCTGTACTGCTCTCTGAATTCTGCAAACAAGGATTCAAAGGGAGCGTGCTGTGCTCATGAATGAAATACCTACAGACAAAACAGTCCCACACACCCAACCACGCTCCTGTCGGAACAAAAGTCCTGTCATACCGCTGGACATTGTTCTGACCCTCCAAAGCTGGTCCAGCCGTCAGCAAACTGCACTTAAAACACCACCCGAGTAGAAGAGAGTTCCTGAAAGCACCCGGGCTGCTCCGGCTCCCCACACAATGGCTGGATTCTTTGAAATCCACATCTCGTGCCCGGCGTTATTGGACACACGTCCCGATCCTTTGTCCGGCTCACGCCAACGGGCCCATTCCTGTGCTCAAGGCCATTTAAAGCTTAAACAATCCATTTCACCCCAATAACGAACACGTTCAGTTCCGTATTTCCCCTCTTCTTTTAACGCAAACAAAGCGTGCGCTGAGGATTGCAACACAAGTGTCCCCCGATTTCACCAGGTACAAACCAGCTGAGTGATGCAGATCAACGCTAACCCAAGGGATTTCCCCTTGCATTCCGTATGTTTAAAGAAAGTATTTTAAGGTACACACGCACAAAAACTACCGAACAGTCACAACTTGCTGGAAGAGAGATTCACTCCTGAGTCACACTGGCACTGCTCTTTATCCCATCCCAGATCCCCGCACCGACCGTGCACAACAGGGCAGCGACCGCTTCGCTGTATTGTCTCAACACCTCTAACAAAAGCCGAAAAAAAGACAGACAAAAGCGGGAAAAGGCCAAAACACGCTGAAGGCCTAACAAAAAGGACTTATTCAGACGGGGTATAACCTTTCATTACACGATTTAAGGGAGGTTCCGGGGGCAGTTTCGCGCTCTCTCCCGGAGCGCCGGTGGGAGACGATCGCGCTCGGCTTTGCTGCGCTTTTACGCGCAAACCTCGGGAACTTGAGAAGTAAAATAAATAAACAAACAGGCAGCGACCAAAAAAAAAAAAAAAAGAAAAAAAAAACTCTCGGGAGCTTTACGGAGGTATTTTTAACATGTTTTGTGGGGGTTCTTGTTTCTTCCCAGAACACTTCTTGGAGCGCTATTTCCCCCCGGCGCGGGCGGCGGGGCAGCCCCGGGCCCGCTCCCCGGGCCCTTTGTCGGGGCGGGCGGCGGGAGGTGCCGGGCCCGACCCTCCGCCCGCCCGCGGCCGTGGCGCCCGGCCCGGGACCCGCGGGGGTGTGCGGCGGGCCGGGGGGTGCGGGGGCGCCGGGGACGGCGGGAGGGGCTCGGCCGCACAATGGAGCCGCCTCTCGCCCTCACACGCCGCCGCCGCCGCCGCCGCCGCCTTCATGTGACTCGCGGAGGAGCGAAATGGCTGCTGGGTGCCGCCGGCTCCCGCCCCCGCGGCCGCCGCCGAGCCCCGACCCCGCGCGGGGCCGGCGCGGGGCGCGGGGAGGCGCGGGGGGGACGCGGGCGCGGGGGTCCTGAGCGGCGCGGCCCGCTCACCATTTGCGCACTTTCTCGATGGCCGCCATCACCCGCTTGATATCATCCTTCGCCCGGCTCCGGGTCTCGGCCCGCACCGACCGGCCCGACATGCTGCTGGGGAGGAGGGGAAGGGGGCGGCGGGCTCGGCGGGGAACGCGGCGCTCGGCGCGGCCGGCGGCTGCGGTGCGTGTGTCGAGGCTGCCGCCCGCACACGCCGGCGCTGCGCGGGGCTCGGCGCGGCTGCGCTCGGCGGCTCCGCTCGGCTCCGCCTGCCCGCCCGCCCGGCGGGCCGCGCACCGCGCACGCGCGGCGCCCACAGCGAGGGAGCGGGGCGGGGGGGGCGGTGAGGCCATCGCCGTGAGGGCACGGCGGGTGGCGGGAAGGGCGGGCGGCGGTGCGAGGGGACAGAGCCCGGGCTGCCCGCGGGGCTGGGGGGACACCGCGGACACGACGCCACGACCGGCGCAGGAGGCGCCCCGGCGGAAAGGAGCCCGCGCGGGCGGCGCTTCCAGAGCTTCCGTGGCTGGTTTTGAACTCCACGGTGTTCCCTTGGAGCGCAAGGCAAACGCTCCTTCCCCACTTCCACCGCGCCCAGGCAGTGACTTACCCCAGAATTTAAAAGTTTGTCCAATTTCAGGTCACCTCAGCACATCAGGGGTAGTTAGGTATTGGGACGGGCTGCCCAGGGAGGTGGTGGAATCACCGTCCTTGGAGGTGTTTAATTTAAGACTCGATGCGGTACTTGGTGATACGGTCTGGTTGACAAGGTGACGATCGGTCACAGGCTGGACTCGACGATCGCGGAGGTCTTTTCCAACCTACTGGATTCTGTGATAACCCGGTGCAGTCTAACAGCATCCTGGGCACAACTAAATTTTGCTGCGAAGCAGAACTGGAGGGGCTTTCAGAAAGCCCAAAGCACTTTACACAGAAATAATGCCTGTTTTCGTGCAGGGCAACCCCGGGCTCCAGCGATGACAGACACGCATCCTGCTCTTGTCCCAGTTGCTGTGGCAGACCCTGAGTGCAGGGATGGGTGATGCTCCCTGTTAGCAAAACATCCCTGCTTGAATGGGATAAATAAACCATCATAATAATACAAATCTATAATAAGCAGATTTTGATTTTTTTTCCCCCAGTGGTTATAACGTTTCTCAGCTGCCTTAAATAATTCCAGTAATTTCTGTGGAATTAGACTGCTTTTAAGCAGTGGAGGATCAGCTCCAACACAGATCCATGGAAGCACATGTGCATAAAGGGTAAATGGGCAGAGTTACATGTGAGGTGATGCTCTGCAGGACGTTTGTCACAGACCTGGTACTGTTACTGCTGGACTCTCTCATTAACTTCTCCCCAGTGCACACCTTGCTGCTCTTGCTAATTGTACAATCACAGATGTTCTCAGTACACAACAGCGATCTCTGTTTAAAAAACATTGCCTCTGAAAAGAACGCTTCTTAAGGGCCTACATTATTATTCAAATTGATGCCGAGGATGATGTAAAGAAGGAAGCATGTTCAACAGCACTTCACTGATCTTTCTACAGCAACTTGTATCAGCCTCATTATGCTGTTTATACACACACAGTGCGATGCCGTCCCATTGGTATTACACTGCTAATTGGAATTACTACTTTCAGAAAGAAAAAGTCAGTTTTAAAGGCCAAAAGGGAAACCTGATTTTAATGTACACCACGGTGTTCCTTTCTTTACCGAGGTCTGTTGGATTTATAATTACAAATCCATTCTAACCCGTCCAAGCATTTATCAATGTATTTAATCAATACAGTACTTTTACATCGCTCTTCTGCTGTCAGGTTTCACAAATGAACACTGTCTTAACATAATGAAAATAGACTGCATCTGGCATAAACCCACCTGAAATAAATTCAAGGAAGGTTCCAGCCAAGGCTCGGATGGCCACCTGCTTCATTCTACAACCACCCCAGTGTTTCCATACATAGGTGGGAAATTATAGGTTTGTGGCACATGCAACACTAGGGGTTTTATTCTAGAGTTTGACTGAAATGCAACTATGTGACCTTTACTTTGTAATAAACACAAAACACAAATTTTGCAGATATTTGAGGAGAGGGGTCTGGAAAGAAGAAACAAGCAGAAAACCTTGTGGCAGCTGTGATTCCGAGTCTTCATAGATCAGAGGTTCACCTCTCTCCTTCAGTTCTTTCTTTCTGGTGCAGCAATAGGTAAGCCAAGAATGTCAGCAGCAAATATCTCTGCTGTGACTTCTGCTGGAATTTCTTCTTCAATCAAAGCTGCTGCACCTGGAGAGCAGTAACAACACCACAAGACACAGAGCAGTGATGTAAAAATGGCTTTCCAAGTCAGTAAAATTTGTTAGTGAAGTAATCATGGAAAAATGATGGTTTACTCACCTAACACTTTATATGTTTATATCAGGAACCTGTCGAACCTGCAAGTCTCACCTTGCAGCAGGTCCCTGCCTGAGAGGGGTCATGGGACAACTTTTATACTCCAGCAGTGTGATGTGATTTTAGGACCTTAAGGAATCCAGGGATTTCAAAGTTGGTTTGCAGCACCAGGCAGTTCCCTTTGGGAGCTGCACCTTTGCTGTGTGCGGCCCATTCCAACAACCCTAAATAGATGCTGTTCCAAACTGGGGGGGGACCGGGACACAAATCATAGGAAAATGCAGTTCCAACTACAATGGGCAATTAAATACAGCCACTTGGCTGAAATCGATGCTGTAATTTGCTGTTCCAGACTGGTGTGGACTGGGACATAAACTGCAGACAAATGCGGTCGTTACCAGCAGCTCTGTTACAATGGGCACTGCTGCCTGGGTGAAACCAGCTCTGGGATTTCCCTGTGAGTTTCTAATTTCAGTTCCAGCCAGCAGATAAACAGCAATGTAATCTTGTCAGGCCCCAGTTATAGTTCATTGTCCATTTATTTTTAGATACACCCGTGTGATTGCTGCGTGGATGAAGGACAATCTGTAGCTCTGTGACTATTTTTGCAATCCTGTCTGAGCACTTTTGACAGCTCTTGGCCTAACGGGGTAAATGGGTTTGAAATTTAAATTGTTCCATTTGGGAATTGAAGCAGTCCTGCTTCTGTGCTGTGTGGAATGCTAATCCTGTACCTGAGGGATCAGAGGTGTCTGGTTCAGATCCTCGTCTCCCCGGTCGCCTGCCCAGCAGGGTGGTCAGACACTGGACCAGCTCGTCCTCGGTCATCTGCTCTCCTGTAACAACAGAGCAAGGCCAGCCCGTGGGTTATGGGGTCAAGAGCACAAAAACTAGAAAGGAACTCAAACAAGAACAGTGCACAAACAGAACAGGACAGTTTGAAAGGGGATTTGGCCTCTGTGATAGAGAGATGTACCAATACACGAGAAAATGTTGTTCCTAAGGAAAATTGTTCTTCCCTATTGCATTTTGGGAAAAAGCATTAATCAAAGGGAGAAATTCTGATGCAGACAGCTCTTTAGGCTACAGTGCACTTGCAAGGGCTTGAGCTTCTCTTCCCACTGGAGAATTCCTGGCACAGACCACAGTCCGTGTAGCCATTTTCACTCAGAGGAGGAAGAGGAAGGTGGAGAAGTCTTGATTTAGTATCTTGGAATAACGTGGACATGGCACTTGTTCCCAGTTAGCGATTGGCTCATGCCCTGCAGCATGAGGTTATAGATCTGTTATGAAACTGTTCTGTCTGATGTATCTATTTATGGATGTTCACACCATCCACATAAATAACTAACCTTTCTCACACTGGCTGAATCCTTGGTTTCCAAGGATCTTTGTGTCAAGGAGTCTTGCCAGGTGAGTCAACCAGCATTTCCCTTTACCTGTTTTAATGCTCAGCCGGAATTTTTTCGCCAGGAGTAAGTACAACAAAGGATTGTTATTTACCACTCTATGGCACTGGCCACAATTATATTTATACACACATTTACAATGTTCTTCCCGATTCAGCTCAGCTAAACCATCATATCTTTTCAGTCTTTCACACAGATTCAGTTCAGGACTGACTTAATTTCATCCCTCCTTTCTTGTGCCCTTTTTATCAGTTTTATACTACTTTGCCAAAGCCTGCCTGGCTGGAACAGAGAACAGTGACTCAGATAAGGGCATACTGGAAGAAGGATACATCTTACCAAGATCCATACTCATCATTTGACAGCCAAATCTCAGGCCAGCAGAGATTTCCAGAGCAGTAAAAGAAGAGCAGCTGAGACAATAGATGTGATTATTCAATTTAAAATCTTAAAACAAGTGGCTCCCCACGCCTGCCCTCATTACCAAACCATAGTTCCAGATTAATTTTTTGCTGCAGTGAATAAGTTCTGAAATTGCAGGCAGAACTAGCAAGCATAGAACTAATATTAGAAGAGAAATAACTCACCTCTGCACTGAAGCAGAGACAGTAAGTCTCCTCTGTCAATAACTTTGTCTCCCTTCTCGTTATCATAACCAAGAACCTGAAACGCTCGTTGTAGGCTTTTCATCGACAAGCCAAGCGCAGGTCGATGATTTATATAAAGTTTGATAAAATCCCCCAGATTGATTTCTGTCACTTGCTCTCCAGTGTCCACGTACTTGCTGAATTTTACCTCATTTATCATTTCTTCAATCTAAAGATCAAGACAAGAGAGATTGTTACACATTTTTTTGCAGAGCATCGGGCCGGTTTCCGACCTGGTGACTGCCAATGTACCATAACCGTGCACACACTGGTAGCACAGGTGCCGTGACCGGATCCCAGTGGGAAGCTGCACTCGGCAGCTGAGGACGGGCACGGCCAACAGTTACACACTTGCTGACATGATGACATTGGGTAAAGAGGGGGGTTGCACGTACGTTGTCATTTTGGATTTCCTCTCTCATGACGGGCACTCGGTGACTCCGCAGCTGTTACCGGTACCTTCGCCACAGCTGCATCTCCACTCTGGGGACAGCGGGCGGGCAAACCACACACCGGTAAACACACCATCCCTGCTGCAGGAGCACGTGCAGGAGAGTCCCCACGTAACCAGGCTGCACACCCTGGCTGGCACAAACAATCTTCCCCCACTCTGACACGTGTCTGGTGAGGTTCTGCCACCACACAAGCCAAATCCAAACGTGCTCAGTGCGGCTGAGAGCCTGCGCTCTCCTCCCGGACAAACAGGCAAGCCCTGGCCGTGCTGGGTGCTAGTGGTTTTCCTGAAGTCTGGTGCTGTGAGTCAGCCCCGTTGGCAGCTGTGCAGATGTGTGTCCAAAAGGCAGCATCCGCTCCGTG